TGGCTAGGTATGAAGGACCTAGAAAGTGTGTTGGATGAATCGGAGAAGCGACCACGAGCTGACTCTGGGGAGGCGTCTACTGGAGCAACCAGCCAAGTGGGATCCGAGGCTGGGGGAGCATCGTTGAGTGGGGGGAATGAAGGAGGAACCGCTGCAACTCGAACCGGAAGGTCGCAACCAAGTCGCGAGGAGTTGCTCAAAGCTCAAGAAGCATGGGATCGGAAGGATCGCCAGGCATTTCAGAACCTGTGTTGGGCTTTGGAGGGGCAACTTGAGCTTCTTAAGATGCTGATTGACCTGAAGAGGAAGGAAGGTGCAGCAGCTGCAGCTTGGAAAAGAGTGCAAGATAGGCACTTGCAGAAAGGGCTTCTAAGCGTGCTTACTTGGCGGAAGCGGTTTTACACCATGGAGTGGAACTATGGGGAGGGGGAGACCATGGTTCAGTATCTCCAGAGGGTGGATGAGAATGTGAGGGCTTTGGAGGAGCTGGATTACATGGTAGATGAGAAGGAGATCATCTATACTGCGCTCCAAGGGTTGGATCAAGCGGCTAATAAGGCATTACTACAGTACCTTCACCTCGAGCAACAGAAATGGACCAAGGTGTGGATTTGGGAGGTTCTAATTTCTGATGAGGCTCGCAAGGTTGATGCTGGAAGAGGCCTAGAAGGAGGCATGGGTGCAGCAGATAAAGCTTCCTTCAGGAAAGGCTATCAACAGCAAGGAGGTGGGGGAAAGAAGAAAGAGTTGGATAAATGCCTTGTGCCTGGATGCAACAAAAAACACTCTTGGAATAGTTGCTGGAGTAGGCCTGAGGGATGGAAGCCTCACGGCTACTCTGGAGAGGCCCCACCAGTGACCAAACCTGATTGGGTGGAGAAAAGGATGAAGAAGGGGCTCTGGAATAAGAAGGGCAGCAAGGGAGCAACGGCGGCAGCTGCTAAGGATGAGAAGGGGAAGGGCCAAGACGACTCCTCCGATGATGGTTTCTCGTTTCTCATGCTAGGGCAGGATGCAGCTCTCGCTGGTCGTGCATTGGCTGATCCCAACTTCCTGGTTCTAGACTCTGGAGCAACATCTGGGATGCTTCCTCGCCGTGATCTCTTCACCTCCTACCATCCTCTCCCACCAAACTCTAGGAGCGTGATTGTTGGGAGCGGAGATTTGCTGCAGGCAATTGGCATCGGCACTATCACCATTAAGGGGAAGGAGGGGGAGCTAGTGGGTGTGAAGGGGGTCCTTCACGTCCCTGGTTTGGCTGCAAACCTCCTTTCATGCTTGCAGCTAGCTAAACAGGGATACATCTGCACTTTCACTAAGGGAGGGTGCACTGTTAGAAAGGGTGAAGCTGTGGTGATGGAGGCAAAGCTGGACAAGGGTTTATACCTTGTTCCAGCTTGTGTGCCTAATTGTCACACGGCACATATGGTTTTTTCTGAGGAAGCCGCTTGTAGCACTCGCTGGAGGCAGATGGAAACGGTGTCACCTGAGTTGCTACACCTTCGCATGGGGCATGCGGGGAAGCAGCAACTGCTGGAGTGTGTGAAGAAGGGGGAGCTGAAGGGGGTGGAGGTCAAGGAAGGAGCTGGGCAGCAGAGAAAATGTCCTGACTGCACATCTGGAAGGCTGCCTAGAACCTCATTCCCTATCTCCCCTGATCATGCATCGACTCCCTTTGAGCTGGTGCACACGGATGTGTGTGGACCGATGCAAACTCCTGACCCGGAAAAGGGCAGCTGATACTTTGTCACCTTTCTTGATGATTTCAGTCGACTTAGCTGGGTCATCTTGGTGAAGACCAAGGATGAGGTGGCAAAGGTGTTTAAGCGGTGGATACGCTATGTGGAGAGGGATTCAAGGGCCAAGGTGAAGGTGATAAGGTCAGATCGGGGTGGAGAGTACCTTGGAAAAGAACTTCAAATCTTCTTGGAAGAAAAGGGTATTTCCCACCAGCTCTCTGTACCTTCCATGCTGCAGCAAAATGGGGCAGCGGAGCGGCTGAACAGGACCTTGACCGATTTGGCTCGGGCCATCCTTGCCCATGCCGAGCTTGATAACACTTGGTGGGGGGCAGCAGTGCAGTATGCCAACTGGGTGAAGAACAGGATGGGCAGCAAGGGGCTTGGAGGCAAGAGCCCATACTCCTTATGGACAGGGAAGGTGCCAAATGTTTCCATGGCACGAGTGTGGGGGTGCATGGCACAGTATAAGGTACTTGACCAGCAAAGGAGGAAGCTAGATCCTAAGGCACAGTGGGGGATCTTCCTTGGGGTTTCTGAGAGGAGCAAGGCTTGGGTGCTGTGGAGTGTAGCTGGCCAGCGTGTGATGGAGAGCCGTGATGTGATTTTCCATGAGGGGCTGAATTATAAGGGGTGGAAGGAGCGTGGTGCAAGCCATAGTGGGAATTCCATTCAAGACCCTCATACGGCCTCTATCTTTGAGGGGGCATGGGAGGACCCTGGAGATGAAGGGGAGGAGCAGCAAGAGGAGCCAGAACCAGCTGATCCTAACCATGAGGAGTCCCGAGAGACAGATTCTACCCCTCAGCCAGCCACGCAGGCCGATGCGCGTGATGATCAGCCGGAGCAGCATGTGCCTTCAACTCCATCGAGAAGCAGTTGGCAGCAGTTGTTGAACCAGCAGCTGTCCAAGACTCCAAGGACTCCAATGAAGAGGGTGACTTAGGAGGAGAAGCTGCGGAGGCTGGAAGAAGGAGAGGCAACACCTCTGCAACGTAGTGCTCGAATTTCCCAGCCACCTGAAAGGTTTTCACCGGGGCACATTGCACGCATGCATGATCATCTTGTGTCTGATTTGGATGATTGCGTGCTTGTGGACATGCATGGGCATGAGTATGCTCTTGATGTGTGTCTAATGGGTCAGGTGCATGAGCCTAGGTCAGTCCACGAGGCGCTGAACCGTCCCGAATGGGTTGAGTCCATGCATGAGGAGCTTGAGTCTCACAAGGTAAATGGATCATTTGAGCTGGTTGATCCAGCAGTGGTACCACCTAGTTTGGAGGTCCTCAGGTGTCAATGGGTTTGGAAATACAAACATAACCCTAATGGTACCGTTGAGAGGCCTAAGTCCAGATTGGTGGTGATGGGAAACATGCAGAAATTGGGATTTGGAGGAAGAGCTTTACATGCCGCAGCCCCCTGGTTTTGATGATGGGTCTAACCGAGTGTGTCGCCTCAAAAAGTCCATTTATGGGCTGAAGCAAGCCCCACGACAGTGGTACCTGAAATTTGATGAGGCTCTCATGGATTTTGGGTTTGAGAGATCTGAGTGTGACCCTGCCTTGTACCACTTTATGAGAGATGAGGAGAGGATCTCCTTATTCCTCTATGTGGATGACCTTTTGCTCCTATGCTCTAGCAAGGCTTTGCTAGATCGAGTGAAAGACTTCTTGTCCTCGTGTTTGCGCATGAAGGACTTGGGGGAGGTGAAGTACTACTTGGGAATGCAAATTGAGCGTGATGAGAGTGGTATCTTGATTCATCAAGAGAGGTACATTCTTAACATGCTTCAGTCCTTTGGTCTTTCTGAGGCCAAACCCGTGCGTACTCCTCTCCCGACAGGCTTTGATGTGCATGCCTATGAGGATGAACCTTTGTTGCAAGATGAGCTGGTCAAGCTCTACCAAAGCACTGTGGGATCCCTCATGTATGCTTGTACTACCACACAGCCACAGACTGCATTCGCAGTCTCACAGCTATCTAAGGTCGCCTCTTGTCCTAAAATGTTCCACTTGCAGGCTGCTAAGAGAGTGCTGAGGTACCTGAAAGGTGATGTCAACTCAGGTATCTTCTTCCAAACACAGCCCCAATCTCAGGTCCAGGTGGTTGGCTTCAGTGATGCCGACTATGCTGGAGATTCCGCAAGTTGCAGGAGCCATAGTGGGTATGTGTTCTGTCTGAATGGGGCAGCTATCTCTTGGCACAGCAAGAGGCAGCCCGTGGTGGCACTCTCTACCATTGAGAGTGAGTACATCAGTCTGTGTCAGTGCATTCAGGAGGGTGTATGGCTGAGGCGTTTGTTTGGGGAGTTTGGCCATGATCATGTTGGTGGTGTGCCTGTGTTTGTGGACAATCAAGTGCGCACTGCCGGCTATTTGAAGGAGCACATTGATAAATGTGTCGTGTTTTGTGGTGTAGTTTGCTCAAGCTGGTTGTGGGCTATTGGGATTTGGGCAAAAGAACTTGGGTCGGTTGACAGGTTTGATCTCGTTACCTTTCCAACCCATACAACCTCAACCCCACTACAACATCTTTGATGTTGCATTTGTGGCACTTGGGAGCCTTGGGGTTTGGTCTAGGGCGAGGGTTGGTGGTGTTTGACAATGACATACTCGAACTTTTCCAGATCTAACTGCTTCCCTTCTCGTTTTTATTAGGTGATTCATGGCTGCCTAGCCAAATTACCAGAATATCCTCTCACACTGATTTCGTCATAATCGGCAGCTCAGATCTTGGTTATGAACGTGCTTTACCATTCTGGAAAGTAGAGATTAAGACCTTTCCAACGCGTATAAGCTCATTTCTAGAAGTTACTTGAGCTACACGCAATGTTCCGTTGAGGTCGTCAGTCTTAATCTCTAATTAGTTCTCTCCAGATTTACACGATTTCCATCACACATCACTGTGATGCTGGCATGCATGGTGATTGGGAGAAAACTATAACCCTGGGTCCTCTTCAAGCGCAACCACCCGCCTGAAGGCATTTTCCCAAAAGGTTAGTGCCCGCCTGCAGAAACTGTTGAATCCTTGTGTATGCTCTTCCTAATCTCGTTTACGGGTTTTGATTTTCCCTGTAATTTTAAGCTTCTAATCCAATTCCTTTCTCTCGTTCTGCAGACGTCAAAGTGCGGGCCCAGCCCAAAGGGTGGATGGACGAAGAAGGTGTCTTGGCCTGGCTACGAGATGAAGTCAATCCCTTCCTGAAGCCGAAGGTCGGACGTCAAGCAAAGGGTGCCATCTGTTGTGTGATGTCATCATATGCTATCACATTCTGTCTGCCTCCCATCCCATGTTTTCAACTTGCATGTGTGGTTTGAATGTGCAAGCATTTGTGTGGTGTGTTCTGGAGTTTGGGAATGTGTTCTGTGTTATTTTTGTTTGAGCAGGTATTTGTGATGATAGATCTTGAGAAGATCTTTCCGACGCAACGAGAATCCCTTCAATCGGAGCAAGAATGCGAAAGTTCATGAGCTTGCGTTACAATTGCGGCGGTTACTAAGTGAAGTTGTGGGGTGAATTTATATGGAGTTGGGACCTTTGGGGTTTGGGAAATTTGTCACTCTACTGTAACAGCTGCAAATTGGTTGGGAACAACCAAGCTAGGTTGGCAAGGGTGGCCAACTTGGATGGATTGGTTGGGAAGGGACAAAGGTCAACGTTGAGGTTCCTATAGGGAGGGAATCTTTGTGCTTATGGGGTTTCCTTGGTTGGGGACTCTCTTGGGACCTTCCCTCTCATCTCTCTCTTCTATCCCAACCTTTCTCTTGCTCCTCTAATTCCTTGTGAGATTCTTGAACTTTGATTGAACTCTTGAGATTGAGTTAAGTTCTCCTCCTACAGCTTACCCCCTAGTGCGTCGAAAGACATAGCGTCGCGAATACTTCATCAATCAACATGATTCAAATTGGGAACGGTAGGTGAGATTAAGAGCTACAACATATCCAAGTTTCGCGACATTCCAACGGCTAGTTTTTCGTCGACGTTGTTTCTTGTGAAGACGACTTTTCTGTCCAGAATTTCGGATTTATATTTTGAGTAATTCTAGCTCCTAAGTTCACCTAGACTCCGTCCTTAATCCTAACAAGTGGTATCAGAGCCATATTAAGGACATTGAGAGGAGTCTACAGAAGTTTGAAGACCCTTCTAGACCCACCATGGCCTGTGGGTGTGCCTAAGTGGTGTTCTAAAGGTTGGATGTGTCTTCCGCTAAGGGGAAACTCTACCGAAATTTCGTGGACGCCGACACTTGTGAAAATATCGAGGGAGCTGAGTGTGGACAGCACAAAGGGGAGCTGAAATTCGTCATTTCTCAAGGAGAAGATGAATGAGAGAGGAGGAGATGCTAATGGAAGAGGAGCTGTAGCTGAGAAGACAAGTGAGCCGCCGCCATCAAAAGTTGAAGCTTTGGATGGCTCCAACTATGAGGAATGGAGCGGGCGGATGAGGAGTGCCTTCAAACGCTACAAGCTACTGAAGATTGCTGTTGGGGAGGAGAAGATGCCGGAAGAAGGCGAAGCACGTGAACGGTGGATTGAGAAAAGCGCGGTGCTTTTCGACCTCATCCTTCAATCGGTCAACAAGGAGATGTTCGAGCACATCAAGGATCTTGTGGAAGCGGATGATTCGGGTCCAAGGGCGTGGAAACTACTACGTGATGTGATTCAGCCCAACACTCTCCCAATGGTGATCGTGCTCGAGAAGGAACTTGCTGCCATCTCCATGCGACCAGGGGATGATGTGAAGCCGGTCCTTGACAAGATCAAGGACACCTATGCAACGATGGCAGCAGCGGGCAGCAGTGTATCTCAGCTGCAGCAGTGCACCAAGATCATCTCGGTGTTGGACAACTCTTGGGACAACCTCATCCCCACCCTCAACTCTCAGCAAGATCAATGGACACCTGAGTGGCTAAGGCACCAGATTCTGCAGGAGGACTTCCGCAGACGCCATGTGGGAGGCGGTGCTGCCACTAAGACTGCTGAGGGGTATGGAGCTGCAGGGCGCGGCAGAGGAAGAGGGGGTTGGAGAGGCCGAGGCCGTGGGAGGAGCTTTGGCAGAGGTAGAGGCCGAGGTGACTATAATGAGGGGCATGGGAGCTCCAGTGGCAGGGGGAGTACCAGAATGGAGGGCACCTGCTGGTACTGCAAGAAGGTCGGGCATCCTTGGTTCAAGTGCTTCAGCAGGCCGGAGGGATGGGCACCTCCAGGCATGAAGCCGCCAAGTGGTGAACGCACACAAGGTGGCGCTGTGCAAGATGAAGGTGCACAAGGTAACGCCTATCCTGGGATGTATCTCATGGTTGAGGATGTGCATGGGCATGAGGGTGATGTGGGATCTGTCGGAAAGGTTGTGATGCACCCTCTCACGCACTGGGTGATTGATTCGGGTTGCACCAGTCACATGACCCCACGGGCAGATTTGCTTGATGAGGTAAAACCCCCTGGGAAGATCAAGTATGTGGCAGCAGCGTCAGGTGCTTTGCTCCCTGTGATTGGCGTTGGGAATGCCAAGGTTAAGGGAGCTAATGGGGAGCTTGTGGGGCTTGGGAATGTTCTGCTGGTTGAAGGCTTGTCTGCTAACCTTCTCTCTGTGCGACGACTGCAGAAGAGTAAGGCCGAAGTGACCTTTGGACCAACCAGCTGCCGTGCTAAGCTTGGGAAGAAGGTGCTGTGGAGTCTGGAAGAGGAGACCAGCTGCATCAAGGACCTGTGGCAGCTGCCCATCATCCCATGGAATGGGAAGACTCCAACAGCAGCAACGGCAGCAGCGGCAAAGGCAACAGCAGGAGGAGATGCAACTGCACCAATTGATGGGGTCCTAGAAGCAGTCAAGAAAGTGCAGCAGCAGCAGACACATGGTGAGGTGCTTGCTGGTGTGGATGCGAGTGCGGCATGGGCTAAGGCTTCATCAAGGAGTGGAGAGGCCGATTGGGAGACATGGCATGAGAGGTTGTGTCATGTGAACTTCCCTATGCTGCAGAAGTTGGTGAAGAATGGGAGCCTGAAGGGCTTGGAGGTGAAAGGGGAAGTGAAGGAGATTGGGAGCTGCCCTACATGCTTGGAGACCAAGTTCTCCAAGTTCCCCTTCAACAGCACTACAGGACCAGCCAAGACCTCACTTGCACTTGTGCACATGGATGTGGTGGGGCCCATAAGAGCCCCTTCCCTCTCAGGCAGCCGCTATTTCTTGACAATTGTGGATGACCACACTCGGGCAGTGTGGGTTTACCCTTTGAAGAGCAAGGGGGAGGTGGCAGCGGCTGTCCTTAAGGAGTGGATGCCGAGAGCTCAGAGGGAATGCGGACACAAGGTGAAGGTGATCCGTAGTGACAATGGTGGGGAGTTCATTGGAGCTGATTTTGAGGGGGAGTTGAAGAGGAAGGGGATCCAACATCAACTGACAGTGCCCTACAACCCGCAGCAGAATGGCGTGGCTGAGAGGTTCAACAGGACCCTGCAGGAGGGGGCACGCACTCTCCTTGGGCGTGCAGGGCTGCCTGATCCGTTTTGGGTGTCTGCACTGAGGCAGGTCGCCCTTGTGAAGAACAGGGTGCTGGCTACAGTTGGAGATAAGGAGTGGATCCCATACGTCAAGTGGTATGGGAGTGCTCCAGCTGTGAACATGCTGAGGGCATTTGGGTGCATGGTGGTGTTTCATGTGCCTAAGGAGAAAAGGGGGAAGTTGGAGGCTTCTGGAAGATGGGGTGTGCACTTGGGGATTGCAAAGGATCACAAGGGGTGGCTGCTATGGGACTTGACCACCCAGAAGCTGACAGTGTCAAGGGATGTGAAGTTTCTTGAGTCCCTGTACTACAAGGAATGGAAGCAGCAGCAACAGAAGCTTCCATCTACACCGCTCATTGTGGAGGCAGATGAGGTGCAGCAGCCTTCAAGACAGGTGGAGGTTGCAGTGTCAGAGGAGGAGATGTCTGGGGTGACTGAGGAAGGGGGAGCAGCTGAAGTAGAGCAGCAGCAGCAGCAGCATGAGTCTCCACCTCGAGTTCCACACCCGCCTGAGCGTCCTAGGAGGGATGTGCGCCCTCCAGTGAGGCTGACCTATGGGGGAAGAGGCAAGCCGAATGTGGTGCAGGCTGGGAGTGTGGTTGAGCAGATTGAGGAAGATGAGATCGCTCACTGCTACTGGGCACCAATCCCTGAGCCCAAGACTCGAGAAGAGGCCTTGAATGGACCAAATGGGGAGAAGTGGAAGGCGAGTGAGGATGAGGAGTTCGGGTCCCTAATTGAGAACGAGACATGGGACCTGTGTGACTTGCCTCCTGGAAAGAAGGCAATCACTTCCAAGATGATCTACAGGCACAAGTATGGACCTGAAGGGGAGCTGACCCGCTACAAGTCTAGGCTTGTGGCACGGGGGTTTCAGCAGACAAAGGGGAAGGACTATGATGAGGTGTTTGCTCCTGTGGGGAAAGGAACAACACTGAGGGTGCTGTTGGCGATAGCTGCACTCCTGGGATGGAAGATTCGGCAGATGGACATTGTGACTGCCTTTCTGAATGGGATCATTCTGGAGGAGGTGTACATGAAGCAGCCAGAGGGGCTGGATGATGGGAGCGGCAGGGTCTGCAGGCTGAAGAAGGCCATCTATGGCCTTAAGCAGGCGCCTCGTGCATGGTATCACAAGTTGGAGGAGGCGCTGCTGGCTGGGGGTTTCAAGAAGAGTGAGTGTGACCCCAGCCTGTTCCTGCTGCAGGAGAAGGACGAAATCCTCATGCTCTTGGTGTATGTGGATGATATCCTTCTCTTTTCTGCATCAACTGCTTTGCTGGACAGCGCAGAGCAGATGCTGGAGATGCAGTTCAAGTGCTCCAAGATGGGTGAGGTGAAGTACTACCTGGGGATGCATGTGGAGAGAGATGTGGAGAAGGGTGTGCTGAGGTTGCACCAGAGGAAGTACTGTGAGGGGCTGGCTGAAAAGTATGGGCTGCAAGATGGGGGAAAGCCAGCAACACCACTACCTTCAGGGTTTACTGTGGAGCCATGTGCTGATGAGGAGGTAGTGGGTGAGAGTGACAGAAAGCTGTTTCATTCGATGGTTGGGTCGCTGAATTATGCTGCAAATCATACACGGCCTGACATTGCATTTTCTACATCACGGTTGGCTAGTGTGGTCTCACGCCCTAGTCATGAGCAGCTGGAAGCGGCCAAGAGGTTGGTCCGCTATGTGAGTGCTACGGCATCAGTGGGATTGGAGTACAGTGGAGTGAGGCAGCGGTTGCAGAGAGGTGCTGCAGATGTGAAGAGTGGTGAGATGCTCTTGAGTTGCTATACTGACGCTAGCTTCAACTCAGTGAAAGCGGATGGCACCAGCATTGGGGGTTATGTGTGCTTGCTGGGAGGTGGTGCTGTGAGCTGGCGCAGCAAGAAGCAAAATGAGGTGGGATTGTCTTCATGTGAGACTGAGTACATGGCCTTACACCATGGGGCCAAGGAAGTGGTATGGCTGAGGCGTTTGTTAGAGGAGTTGGGAGTTGGTCAGGAGGAGCCGACAGTTGTGTTCTGTGACAATGAGTCTGCTGTGAAGCTCGCCAAGAATGCTTGTCTGCATGGGCTGACAAAACACATAAGGCCTAAGTGGCATTGGGTGAGAAGACTCCTTGATAAGGAGGTGCGGCTGGAGATAGTGAAGACCCATCAGCAGGCAGCAGATATTTTCACTAAGCGTCTGGCGGAGGCGGATCATTGGAAGGGCATGAAGCTTGCTGGGATGAGTGTGCATTGAGTATGCATGCTTGAGATGTGGTATGGTGGATGATGGTTGGCAGCCAGAGGGGGAGATTGTTGTGTGATGTCATCATATGCTATCACATTCTGTCTGCCTCCCATCCCATGTTTTCAACTTGCATGTGTGGTTTGAATGTGCAAGCATTTGTGTGGTGTGTTCTGGAGTTTGGGAATGTGTTCTGTGTTATTTTTGTTTGAGCAGGTATTTGTGATGATAGATCTTGAGAAGATCTTTCCGACGCAACGAGAATCCCTTCAATCGGAGCAAGAATGCGAAAGTTCATGAGCTTGCGTTACAATTGCGGCGGTTACTAAGTGAAGTTGTGGGGTGAATTTATATGGAGTTGGGACCTTTGGGGTTTGGGAAATTTGTCACTCTACTGTAACAGCTGCAAATTGGTTGGGAACAACCAAGCTAGGTTGGCAAGGGTGGCCAACTTGGATGGATTGGTTGGGAAGGGACAAAGGTCAACGTTGAGGTTCCTATAGGGAGGGAATCTTTGTGCTTATGGGGTTTCCTTGGTTGGGGACTCTCTTGGGACCTTCCCTCTCATCTCTCTCTTCTATCCCAACCTTTCTCTTGCTCCTCTAATTCCTTGTGAGATTCTTGAACTTTGATTGAACTCTTGAGATTGAGTTAAGTTCTCCTCCTACAGCTTACCCCCTAGTGCGTCGAAAGACATAGCGTCGCGAATACTTCATCAATCAACATGATTCAAATTGGGAACGGTAGGTGAGATTAAGAGCTACAACATATCCAAGTTTCGCGACATTCCAACGGCTAGTTTTTCGTCGACGTTGTTTCTTGTGAAGACGACTTTTCTGTCCAGAATTTCGGATTTATATTTTGAGTAATTCTAGCTCCTAAGTTCACCTAGACTCCGTCCTTAATCCTAACACCATCCTCATGCTCAACAGCTATCGGGGGCCTCTGACGGAGCGCGCGATGGCCGAGATGTAGGAGCAAGGCATCATTTCGACAGTCATCCCTGGCAGATGTACCAGCGTGATCCAGCCCTTGGACGTCTGTATTAACAAGTCGTTCACGACCCAGGTCCGTGGGGAGTATCAGGGCTGGTTCGACGAGACCGGGGTCAATCTCACCACCCCGAAGGATGAGTGTTGTTTGAATGCTTGCGCGCTTTGCGGTATGCATTCTGTTAAATCCATAACTCACTACTCCTTGTTTTTTTTCAGGAAATCTGAAGAAACCGCCCCCTGACGATACCATCAAGTGGGTCTCCAAATCATGGAAGGCAGTGCCGACAACGCTCTAGGTGAAGGCTTTCAAGACGTGAGGAATCTCTTCCGCATTGGACGGCTCGGAGGACGCCGACGTCTTGAAGCACATGCGCGACGAGGAGCATACTGAAGTCGATGTAAACGACGAAGCCGAGGCGCATGGCTTTGTCAGTAATAACACTACTGCTGGCGCTGGCAGCAAGGTCGGCCAAGATGAGGAGGCCGGCCTGGAGGAGGAGGAGGGAGGCATGGAGGACGAGACCCAGGGCGATGGCGACGATGTTGAAGACGAGGGCGATGACGAGGAAGATGGTGATGGCTGTGGCATGGGTGATATTGGTTCTGATGGTGAGGATGATGACGTCGACTAGACCGTAGCAGATGCAGCAGCTTTAGTGAGCTCCGGGAGCAGGAGTAGAGTGAGAGACTTAGGCTAATATTAGAAGCTGCTGTAGTCCATCCACCTCTATAATGCATGTGACTGTAGTCTAATTTCTGATGTAACATTAGACTCTGAAAAGGCGTCTTACACGCCAAGCAAGTTGCCTTAAATGCCTCAGGGGCTTCTACGACGAAATGCCAAACAACCACTCTGGTGTCAAAACATATCTTAGTATGTTATTGTAGACTGTATAGGTTTGTGCCTTAGAGGGTACAACACTAGCCTATATTCTCTTGTACTCTCACATTCTAGATCGTTACATCATTCTAACATGGTATCATGAGTAGGTTAGGTCCCGTTCGCCCACCCGTGCTTCCGCCCTAGGTCCTAGCCGCTCGTTCCTCCCCCCCCCCCCCTTTAGCTGGCCCGTTCCCCTAGCCGGTCCGTTCCCCCTAGCCGACCCGAGCCCCTCCCGTAGCCGGCCCGCGCCCATCCCATAGCTGGCACGCGCCCGTCCCGCGCCCATCCCGTAGCTGACACGCGCCCATCTCATAGATGGCCCGCGCCCGCGCCCGTCCCGTAGCCGCGCCCGTCTCCTAGCCGGCCATGTGCACGCCTCGCCGCCGGCCCGCGCCCTCCTCGTAGCCGGCCCCGCGCCCGTCCCGTAGCCGGCTCATCCCGTAGCCGGTCCCGTCTCGCGCCCGTCCCGTAGCCGGCCTGCGCCCGCCCCGTAGCCGGCCTGCACCCGCCCGTAGCCGGCCCCGCGCCCGTCCGTCGCCGGCCCCGCGCCCGTCCGTTAGCCGGCCCCGCGCCCGCCCGTAGCCGGCCCCGCGCCCGTCCGTTAGCCGGCCCCGCACCTGTCCGTTAACCGGCCCTGCGCCCACCCGTAGCCGGCCCCGCGCCCGTCCGTAAGCCGGCCCCCGCACCCGCCCGTAGCCGGCCCCCGCGCCCGTTCGTAGCCGGCATGTCCCCGCCTGTTCGTCGCCGGCCCGTCCCCGCCCCACCCCGGCCCGCACCGGCTCGCTCTCAGCGCCTGGCCCGGCCGCCCAGCTGGACGTCCCGTGCAGCCGGCTCCTGCACTGCGCTGCACCGCACTGCACCGCCCGTCACTGCACTGTGCCTCACTGCACCGCACTGCACCGCACTGCACCCCACTGCACCGCACTGCACCGCCCTGCACCGCAGCTGCATCGCCCCTGATGGCAGACTCTGTGCTGCAGTTTGACGCGGAGGCTCAGCCGATCGAGTTCAACACGTGGCTCGTCGACCTCCGCCGTCACCTCACTGGGCAGCAGCAGGATGGCCACTCCTTGGCTGTACACCTCGACGGTACGCTCCCCTGTCCTGACCCCCCTGCTGCGCTGCCCGCTGACCCCACGTCTGCTGAGCGTGAGTCCGCTACTGCTGCAGCCCTTGCCCGCTCAGTCTGGTTGTCGCGTAACGCTGTTGCCCAGCTAGCTACAGTATCAGTCATGCCCTTCCCCTGTCTGAGCGTACCCGCTTTAGGTCGGTCAGGACCGCCCAGGAATTCCTATATGCTGTTATTAAGCGCTCTTCCATTCCGTCCGCTGCCTCCGCCGGTCGCCTGATCCTGCCTCTGCTGTTTCCTGACCTCGCGTCTTTCCCCACTGTCGCTGACCTAGCTGCCCACTTGCGCACGCTAGACTCGACCTGGCGCTCTGCCTGCACTGAGGCCTAGATCCGCGTATTCTAGCCCCCCCTCAGTGCTACCCTCTACATGCTTGCCACCCGCCTCCCTGGACGTCTTGCTACTGCCCGCGATCGTTTTCTTAGTCTCCACCCCGCCGACCTCACCCTCACTGACTTTGTCGACACCCTGTCAGCCATAGAGAGTCGACAGCGCTCTATCGCTCAGTATAGCGGTATTGTGCCGGTCTCTATCTTTCAGGGCTGTGCGCCCGCTCAGTGCACTTTCTCTGACGGCTCTGCTGCTGTGGCTGAGATAGCTGCTGCAGTGCAGATTCGTCAGGGAAAGGGCTGCCGCCCCAAGGCAGGGCGTGGTGGTGGGGGTGGCGACGGTGTGGGTGGAGGAGGTACTGTCGCAGGGTTGCCCTCAGGGAGTGCGGAGGAGGGTGCTGGGTCTAGCACCACCGAGCAGCAGTCTCAGCAGCAACAGTAGCCAGTTCCACCGCAGGATCAGCAGCAGCCGCAGCTGCAGTCGCAGCAACCACTGCAGCAGCAGCAGCAGCAGCAGCAGCAGCAGCAGCAGCAGCAGCAGCAGCAGCAGCAGCAGCAGCAGCACCACCACCACCACCACCACCACCACCAGCCGCTACGCCAGCAGCAGCAGCAGTAGCAGCGGCGCGTTGGTCGTCTCCCGCCCGGGTGGCCCGGAGCTGGCGGTGGCGGCGGTCGCACTGGTCCTACGCGTAGCGAGCCGTCGGGTGGTGGCTCCGGCGACGGGCGCTGCCAGTACCAGCTTCAGACCGGTCCTCGCCGTGGCCTTGTGTGCGGTAAGATCGGTCACACCCCCACTCGCTGTTTCAGTCACCTGGACGACCTGTTTCGTCTTCGCTTCGGCCCGTTGCCCGACTCTCCGATTGGCTCAGCTTGCTCCGTCAGGGTGTTCATATCATTGATATGGACATGGATGAGATTAGCTTTGCGTTGTATGTGCTGTATGTCGATGACTCTAGTGTGATTGGATCTGCTTACCCAGTGTTGCCTTGTGTAGGTGTCCCTAGTTCAGACCCCCCTGCTGCATCGGGCGTAGGCTCTCCTGCTTTGTTTAGCCTGGGCTCCTCTCTTGCTCCTACTGCTCCTGCCGTCACTGCAGCGCTCTCCTTCACCCTTGCCTCTAGCGCTTCTCGGTGCTTCTTCCGGGACTCCACTACTCTCACGCCACTGCCAGCCCCTACCGCAGTTTCCCTGGCCGACCGCTCCTCCGGCCCTGTCATTGCTCGTAGCTCCACTACCCTTCCGTGTCTAGCGGTTCCTTCAGGCTCCCTTACAGGCCTGCACATCCCCTCATTCTCTAGGAACCTAGTTGGTGTCGGCTGCCTCCAGGACCTTGGCGTCACAACTACGTTCCCTGGTCACGAGCGATACGCAGTCTGTACCGAGGTCGTCACAAGTGCTCCCCTCTTGACGTTCCCCTGGGACCCGGTGTCTGGCCTGGTCACACAGGACACTGCCCCCCCCTCGGTTGTGGCGTCTCCCCAGGTGACTGTGTCTCCTCAGGTAGCTGCGTCCTACTCGTGTCGATCGCTCACTCACCCGACGCTACTATGGCACCACCACCTAGGTCACCGTGCCCTCCCCCGTCTTCGTCATATGTCTCAGCATGGTCTTTTTTTAGGCATCCTTGGGTTGTTCCCTGCGCTCCCCTCCTCACCCGCACCGCAGTGTTCCCCCTGCATCGAGGGCCGGCTCCGCCGTGCCCCTCACTCCTCCTCGTTCCCCCCCACCACTACACCCTTGCAGACCTTGCACATGGACATCTGGGGCCCTGCCCCGTTTCATGGGTCGCGTCGTGAGCGTTACTTCTTCGTCCTTGTTGACGACTACACTCGTTACACCACCGTGTTTCCCCTGGAGTGGAAGGTCGACGTGTCTGACGCTCTTATCCCGTGGCTGGTCTCTGTGTGAGTGAACCGCGGCCTTCCTTTCCTGCGTCTTCACTCCGACCGTGGTGGCGAGTTTGCCTCCGGCGTCCTTCGTCGTTTCTACCGTGCGGAGGGCATCACCCAGACGTTCACCCTGCCGGACTCCCCACAGGAGAATGGGGTTGCTGAGCGATGCATCGGTTTGGTCATGGAGGTGGCTCGTACCTCCATGATCCATGCTGGTGCACCCCATTTTCTGTGGCCGTTCGCCGTTCGCTACGCCACCCACCAGCTTAACCTGTGGCCGCACCCCCAGAAGCCGCAGGTTTCGCCGACCCTTCTCGGGACCGGGTCCCCTGGTGGTGCGTCTGCGTTCCACGTCTAGGGCTGCCTTGCTCACGTTCGTGCCTCTGGCACGGACAAGCTCACTGCCCGCACCGTCCCCTGTGTCTTCCTTGGTTTCCCCCTCGACTCGTCTGACTGGCACTTATACCACCCGCCGTCTCATCGTTTCTTTCACTCTCGCAACGTCACCTTTGACGAGTCTGTCTCCTTCTACCACCACTTTCCCCACCGTGGTCCCTCCGTTACTCCCCCTCCGTTCCTGGTCCCCCCTCCCCCGGTCGCCCCTGCTTCCCCACCTCCCCGCCCTGCCCCGTCTGGTGTGTCTCACGTCACCCCCCTCCCGTCGGTTGGCCCGGTTGAGGAGTCAGCTGACTCTCGTGGCCCTGTGGCGCAGTCCTTGCCATCTGCCCCCTTCACCGTGTCTCCTCCTCCACCTTCACAGCCGCAGCCGCCGTCGCAGCCGCAATCGTCGTCGCAGCCGCAGCCGCCGTTGCAGCCACAGCGGCCGTTGGCCCCACTACAGCAGCATTTAGTGTCCTCTGGAGGTGCAGGTGCTGAGGAGGGTGCTCGTCCTGGGGGTAGTGCCGGTGCTGAGGGAGTCTCTTATTCTGGGGGTGTTCCTTCTGGGGGTGCTGGAGTGGAGTGTTCCGAAGGTAGCTGTGTAGCAGCTGGCGGTCCAGGTGTCGGCGTCGTGCAGCAGCAGCAGCAGCGGTCGCCGTCGGTGTCCGCCCTCCGCCTGCTCGGCCTTCCCTCCCCTGACCGCGCGTCTGCGCCTCTCTTACCGCCTCTTCCTCTTCCTGTCTACAGCCCTGTGTTCCCTCCTCCGAACTCCTCCCCCTCTCGTCTTTCCCCCCGTTCCACCCCTGTGTCTCCTCCCCTGTCTCCCGACCCAACGCCCTGTCGCACGTCTAGGCTCGCCGTCCCTCTCGTTCCCGTCCGGTCTCCCCTGTCTCGCGTTCTCACCCTATATTGCTTCGTTCCCACGTGTCTCATCCTCCCCTCCTGCCATCGCCTCCTCTGTCCTCTCTTGTTGTCACGCCTCCCCCTCTGTCTGACTACCTTCGTACCGCTCGTCCTCTTCTTTCTTGGGTCCTTGCCTCTCTTGTTACCGACCCGTCTGTTCCGGTTTCGCGCCTTGGCGCTCTTGTCGCTGTGGTCGCTAACTTTGCCTCTACCCACCGCCTTGACTACGCCACCGCTCTGGTCTCTGACCCTGCCTGTCCTCCGTCTGTCGGGGGTGCTCCTGCCCTTGGCAGTGACGTCCTGGATGACCGCCAGTACGAGCTTGCTTTCCTGTTTGAGGCTGCTCCCCATCTCTGTTCCATGCTGCTAGTCCCTAAGGGTGACCCAGACGCTTTCGACATCCCGACCCCTCGCACTTACGCTGAGGCGGTCTCGGGACCTTGGGCCTCCTAGAGGATAGCTGCCATGGAGCAGGAGATGGCATCTTGGAGATCCACCGGCACCTACGTCGACGCAGTTCCCCCACCTGGGGTGAATGTAGTCGATGGCCACTTGCTCTTCAAGGTGAAGCGCCCCCCTGGCACGCTACATGGCTAGAGGCTTCTGTCAGTGAGAGGGAGTGGACTTCTTCCAGACCTTCGCACCGACCCGGAAGATGACTACTCTTTGGGTGCTAATGCACGTAGCAGCTCAGCGCGACTACTAGCTACACTCCCTTGACTTCTCTACAGCGTTTCTTCAGGGCAGCCTATACGAGCAGGTCTACCTGTGCTGCCCTCAAGGCTTTACTGGTACCCTCCCTCGTGGGACCCAGTGGCTCCTGCAGCGTCCTGTCTACGGCTTGCGACAGGCGCCCCGTGTGTGGCACGAGACACTGTGTGCCACGCTAGCTGACCTGCAGTTCTTCCCGTCCTCTGCTGACCCCTCGCTCTTCGTTCGTGCTGGCCAGACCCCGTTCTACATCCTTGTTTACGTAGATGACCTGGTCTTTGCTACGACAGACAAGGACGCGCTGGCCTTCGTGAAGGCAGAGCTGCTGAAGAGACACACCTGCACTGACCTAGGAGAACTGCACCACTACCTTGGCCTGCAGATCTCCAGGGACAGAGCAGCGCACACCATCACTCTCACACAGTCACACTTGGTGCGCCAGGTCCTTCAGCGGTTCGGCCTTCAGTTCTCCTCCGCACAGCCCACACCTCTAACTGAGGAGTCAGTAGAGCCCAGTGGCCCCTACACTGAGTTGGTGGGTTGCCTCATGTACCTGATGACTTGCACTCACCCAAATCTGGCATACCCTCTCAGCATCCTGGCTCGCTTTGTGGCCAAAGGCAGACACCGACCTCAGCACTGGTCGGCCGCTAATAGGGCTTTGCAATAACTTGCGAGTACATCAGGCATGGGGCTGGTGCTTGGAGGACGTAGGCCAGTGGTCCTCACAAGGCACACAGACGCTTCTTGGGCAGACGACGCTGAGACTCTTAGGTCCTCCTAGGGCTACTGTTTTAGCCTTGGTTCAGGTGCTGTTTCGTGGAGAGCTACTCGCTCCTCGTCTGTTGCCCAGTCCAGCTGTGAGGCTGAGATCTACGCCGGTGCCATGGCGGCACAGGAGCTCCTCTGGCTGACCTTCTTGCTCGCCGACTTAGGTGAGTGGCCTAGCTCTGCCCCGGTCCTTTATGCTGACAACAAGGCCATGATCCTCCTGTGTCAGGAGCCTCGACTTGAGGGCAGAGCGAAGCACATCCAGCTACGGTACTTCCTCCTGTGCGATCTATAGCAGCGCCGCCTGGCCCGCGTAGTACACTTGGCCTCCGGTGCCAACACGGCTGATATCTTTACAAAGCACTTGCGCCTAAAGATCATTAGCGGCACTATGTACAGCTTGGTCTTGTTCCCGTAGCCTCTCAATTGCTAGGGCCTTGATTGTGTACAGACATTTATGCATATATATTGCTCTGACTGGCCTTGTGGCCTCTCCCAGTGGTTGGACTAGTAGTGCTGCCCTGGTCTCGCTCCTGTCTTGGTCTGTACTCCTTTGACTGGTCTTTAGACCCCTGTCGGCTGGACTTGTAGAGCCAGCGGCCATCGACTACGTTCACCCCAGGTGGAGGAACTGCGTCGACGTAGGTGCCGGTGGATCTCCAAGATGCCATCTCCTTCTCCATGGCAGCTATCCTCTGGGAGGCCCAAGGTCCCGAGACCGCCTCAGCGTAAGTGCGAGGGGTCGGGATGTCGAAAGCGTCTAGGTCACCCTCAGGGACTAGCAGCATGGAATAGAGATGGGGAGCAGCCTCAGACAGGAAAGCAAGCTCGTACTGGCGGTCCTCCAGGACGTCACTGCCAAGGGCAGGAGCACCCCCGACAGACGGAGGACAGGCAGGGTCAGAGACCAGAGCGGTGGCGTAGTCAAGGCAGCGGGTAGAGGCAAAGTCAGCGACCGTAGCGACAAGAGCATCAAGGCGCAAAACCGGAACAGACGGGTCGGTAACGAGAGAGGCAAGGACCCGAGGAACAAGAGGACGAGCGGCAAGAAGAATGTCAGGCAGCGGGGGAGGCGCAACGACAAGGGAGGACGGAGGAGGCGACGGCAGGAGGGGAGGACGAGTCACGTGGGAATGAAGCAACATAGGGTGGGAGCGCGAGACAAGGGAGACAGGGCGAGAACAGGAGGGACGGCGAGACCAGACGTGCGACGGAGGAGTCGGGTCAGGAGACAAAGGAGGAGACACAAGAGGGGAACGAGGAGGGAGACGAGCCGGGGATGAGTCGGGAGGAGGGAACACAGGGCCGTAGACCGGAAGAGGAGGGGACGGAAGGCCGAGCAGGCGAAGGGCTGACACCGTGCAGCTGCTGTGGCACAACACTGTCTCCAGGACCGCCAGCAGCTCCACGGCTACCGCCGGAACACTCCAGTCCTGCACCCCCAGAGGGAACACCCCGAGAGCCAGAAACCCCGCCAGCACCGGTACCGCTCCCAACTCCAGCACCGCCAGAGGCGACGAACGGCTGCTGCAGCAGTAACGGCTCGGGCGGTGGTGACGACGGCGGCGGCAGCGGCGACGACAGCTGCTGCGGCGGCGGAGGAGGAGACACCGGGGGGGAGGCAGGCGGCAAGGACTGGGCCGCAGGACCACCAGAGTCAGCACACTCCTCTACCGGGACAACCGACGGGAGGGGAGTGACGTGAGACACACCGGATGGGGCAGGACTGGGGCTACCAGGGACGGGGGAACCAGGAACAGGGGGGGGGTAACCGGGGGACCACGTCGTGGAATGCGGTGGTAGAAGGAAACGGACTCGTCAAAGGAAACGTCGCGGGAGTGAAAGAAACGGTGGGACGGTGGGTGGTAGAAGTTTCAGTCGGACGAGTCAAGGGGGAAACCAAGGAAGACACAGGGGACAGTGCGGGCAGTAAGCTTGTAAGTGCTTCAGGCACGAACGTGAGCAAGGCATCCCCAGACGTGGAATGCAGACGCGTCACCAGGAGACCCGGTCCAAAGAAGGGTCGGCGAAACCTGCGGCTGCTGAGAGTGCGGCCAGAGGTTAAGCTGGTGAGCAACGTAGCGAACGGCGAACGGCCACAGAAAATACGAGCCACCTCCATGACCAAACCGATGTGTCGCTCAGCGACCCCATTCTGCTGCGGCGAGTCCGGCAGGGTGAACGTCTGGGTGATGCCCTCCGCACGACAGAAGCGACCAAGGACACCGTAGGCGAACTCGCCACCATGGTCAGAGTGAAGACGCAGTACAGGGAGACCGCGGTGGGCACGCGCAAAGACAAGCCAGGGGATAAGAACGTCAGGCACGTCGGCCTTCCGCTCCAAGGGAAAAACCGTGGTGTAGCACGTGTAGTCGTCGACAAGCACGAGGAAGTAGCGCTCGCGACTCGGTCCATGGATGGGGGCGGGGCCCCAGACGTCCATGTGCAAGGTCTGTAGCGGTGTGGTGGTGGGGGGGAAAGGCGAGGAATGAGGGGCACGGCGGAGCCAACCCTCGACGCAGGGCGTGCACGGCGGCTCTATGGAGGGGGGCAATGCGGGGAACGGCCCTGGGAGACCTAGGACAAGACCATGCTGTGACATGTGACGGAGACGCGAAAGCGCAGGGTGACCTAGACCGTGGTGCCACAGGAGGGTCGGGTGAGTAAGCGACCAATACGAGCAGGCCGCTGCAATCTGAGACGACACAGCTATCTGGGAAGGCGTCCGAACCGGGGGGGGCGCGGTGTCCAGTGTGAACAGGCCAGACACCGGGTCCCGGGGGAACGTTGCGAGGAGAGCACAAGTGGCGGCCTCGGTACAGACAGCAAGCCGCTCGTGACCAGGGTATGTAGTGGTGACGCCAAGGTCCTGGAGGCAGCCAACACCAACTAGGTTCCTGGAAAACGAGGGGACGTGCAAGCCTGTGAGCGAGCCCGAAGGAGCCGCCGGGCAGGGAAGGGTGGTAGAACTACGAGCGACTACCGGACCGGAGGAGGGGTCAGCAAGGGAAACTGCAGCAGGTGCAGCAAGCGGAGACAGCGTAGTGGAGTCACGGAAGAAACACCAGGAAGCGCCAGAGTCCAGGGTGAAGGTGAGCGCAGAAGTGGCGGCCGGGGTCGAAGCAGCGACAGAGGAACCTAGGCTAAACAATGCAGGAGGTCCTACGCCTGACGCAGCAGGGGGGGCACGACTAGGCACACCTACACTAGGCAACACGGGGTAGTAAGAACCAGTCACACTAGAGTCATCAGCATACAGCACATACAGGGCAGAGCTAAGCTCATCCATGTCCATAGCAAAAATCGGAATACTACGACGAAGCAAGCAGAACCAGTCGGGGAGGTCGGGTGACGGGTCGAAGCGAAGACGAAACAGGTCGTCAAGGCGACGGAAGCAGCGAGCAGGGGAGTGACCGGTCTTACCACAAACGGAGCCGCGGCGACGACTGGTCTGGAGCTGGTACTGGCAGCGCCCGTCACCCGAACTGCCACCCGGGAGCACACCACGCGCACGTCCACCACCACGTCCACCGCCGCCACCAGCGCCAGGCCACCCAGGCGGGAGACCACTCGCCCGCCTCTGCTACTGCGGCTGCTGCGACTGCTGCGGCTGGAGCTGGGGCTGCGGCTGCGACTGGTGCTGGTCTGGCTGCGACGGCTGCGGCTGCTGGGACGGCTGCTCGGCGGCACAAGGGATAGTCCCCTCGTCTGCGCCACCACCAGGCGCTCCGACTCCACTACCACCTCCACCTGCACCCCCACCCCCTCCGCCGCGCCCAGCCTTGGGGCGGCAACCCTTCCCCGGACGGAGCTGCGCTGCAGCAGCAGTCTCAGCCACAGCAGCAGAACCGTCGGAGAAGGTGCACTGGGCAAGGGCACAACCCTGAAAGATGGGGACCGGCACAGTACCGCGTCAAACTCAAACGGCTGACCCTCAGCGTCGAAGCGAAGTACCTCCGCCATCAGGAACGATGCAGCGCGGTGCAGTGCGGTGCAGGGCAGTGCAGGGCGGTGCAGTGCAGTGCGGTACAGTGCGGTGTAGTGCGGTGCCGGGCGGTGGAGTACGGTGCCAAGTGGTGGAGAGCGGCTCCTTGCGGTGCAGGTCGGAGAAGGACGAACCGTGCATGAGGCAGAGACGGGCCGGCGGCGTAGCGAACCCGGGGCCGGCTAGAAGAGGGGGGTGGCGGGGCCGACGAGGGACGGGCGCGAGGGGCCGGCGAGGAGCGGGCGCGACAGGGGCACGAGGGGCCGGCTAGGAGCGGGCGCGAACGGCCAGGGCGCCGGCTAGGAGGGGCGCGACGGCCAGGGGGCCAGCTAGGGGCGGGTGCAAGCGGCCAGGGGGCCAGCTAGGGGCGGCCGCGACGGCCAGGGGGCCGCCTAGGGGCGGACGCGACGGCCAGGGGGCTAGCTAGGGGCGGGCGCGACGGCCACGGGGCCGGCTAAGGGCGGGCGCGACGGCCAGGGGGGGGGGGGGGGGCTAGGGGCGGACGCGACGGCCAGGGGGCCAGCAAGGGGCGGGCGCGACGGCCAGGGGGCCGGCTAGAGGCGGACGCGACGGCCAGGGGGCCAGCTAGGGGCAGGCGCGACGGCCAGGGGGCCAGCTAGGGGCGGGCGCGACGGCCAGGGGGGCGGCTAGGAGCGGGCGCGACGGCCACGGGGTCAGTTAGGGGCGGGCGCGAACGGCCAGGGGGCCAGCTAGGGGCGGGCGCGACGGCCACGGGGCCAGCAAGGGGCGGGCGCGACGGCCACGGGGCCGGCTAAGGACGGGCGCGATGGCCAGGGGGCCGGCTAGGGGCGGACGCGACGGCCAGGGGGCCTGCAAGGGGCGGGCGCGACGGCCAGGGGGCCAGCTAGGGGCGGTTGCGACGGCCAGGGGGCCGGCTAAGGGCGAACGCGACGGCCAGAGGGGGGGGCCAGCTAGGGGCGGGCGCGAACGGCCAGGGGGCCGGCTAGGAGCGGGCGCGAAGCGGCCAGGGCGGACCAGCTAGGGGCGGGGCACGAGGGGGGGGGGGGGGGGGGGGAGGGGGGGCTAGGGCCTAGGGCAGAAGCACGGGCGGGCGATAGGAACCTAATCTACTCATGTTACCATATTAGAAAGAGAGAATGAATAGAATAGGAAGATACAGGGCAATATAGACTAGTGTGTTGTACCTAAGGCACAAACCGGTATAGTCTACAGTAACAACCTAAGTTATGTTTGACACTTTGTTCTGTAAGCCAATGGTTGTGTGTGCGCTGCAATTTTGCAGCATTGGTAGTTTCGCATCGGGGTAGGCGTACCTCTGCAAAACGGAGTCTTTTCTCTAACCCAGGAAAAAAAAGGGTCAATTTTCAAGTGCGCCCCAGGTTCTATTTGTGAACCCCAAACTCTCCAAACATACGGAGTAGAAGCTTAGGTTTTGCTTGTTTGTGTTTCGTCGTCAACACTGAAGCCGGTGAATCCAGCAAACGCGTACAAAGTATTCTCTGACACCCGCCACTTTCGTGTGGGCAGGTCGATCGTTTTGTGCGATTATCCACTGTACCCCAATCCAACCTGCTCCTCTCGCATCACGAATCCCGAAGACCACTCTCCGTCATTCTCGAGGAACTAGTAGTACGGACCAACAGACACGCTCACGGGAAGTAGCACAGACCTGTAATCGGATCAGCAGCAAGGATTCTCGAGACTACCAGCTACTCTCAAGAATCACGCGTCACTACGCCGATTGCCCAAGTTGGGTTATTTCCGAGCAGATTCGCACATGCGATCCAATATTCAGCACTAAACGGAGCATCCTTTGGCTGTTCGTTTCTTATTTTAACCGCCCCAATGTACTGAAGTCTACAGATAGTCCACACTGTAGTCGAACCCGCTCTTTCCGCTACCAGCATCGGAATAATGGACGTGACGCTGCTGCGCGACTAGTCGGCACACAGTAAACCCCGTAAGCCCCCCTTGCCTCTGCTTTTCGACACCCACGAGCGACCTTTACCCGCTTTCGCGACGTCGCTACGCCATAGCCCAGGCACGGACTGACTCCGCTGGAATCGGCGTCGGACGAAGCCTGCTTGTCCGCTTGCTTCCTTTGCCTGTTTGACTCAATCCAATGGGCATTGCACGATCAGCGCTCGTCACATTCCAGGATCCGTGGGGGGGTCCGTATCCCGAGATTCTTTCTAGTCAGTCTGTAGACAGACTTTAGCACGGTCATGGTTTTCTTGCCCAGGTTCTCGCATCCCCGTCCCATATCCCTCTCCTTCCCGTTTCCCCCCCAGCGACGGCCATGGGCGGTCCGCCCGGCTCTAGGGCCCCCCGCCAGGGCCGCGCAGTGGGGGGAGGGGGCGGGCTGGGCGTGGGGGTGCGCGGAGCTGGCGCGGGCGAGAGTTTACGTAGCAGCGACGGCGGAGGGGGCGCGGGGGGTTCCGCGGGAAGCGGCGGCGGAGGGCATGGCAACGGGGGCGGAAGGCCGCGGAAAACCTCACGCCTGCTGCTGCACATCCGCGTGCACTACCGCCGACTGCTGCTGAGAGTGGGAGTTGCTCTGGCTGCGCTCCTGCTGCTGGCGTTTCTGCTGCGCGCAGCATTGAGCCTGGGGGTAGGGGTGGGGGGTGGGGGAGCTGGGCCCACGGGGAGAAGCGGGCGAGCGGGGTCGAATAGGAAGCTAGGCGTGCCTGGGGATGGCGGAAGCGGAGAGGGAAGGGGGGAAAACAGGCGTGGCGGAGGGGAAAGAGATGCCGCGCGTGGGAGAATGAGGGAAGGGGAAGCGGAGGGGAAGAGAGACGCAGGCCTGGTCCGCGTGGCCCTAGATAAGGGCAGCGTGGGGGCGCGGAGAGGGAGAGGCACGGACGTGTATGAGGCGAGCCGAGAGGAGGAGATAGTGAACGTGTGGGATCCGCAGTATGGGCTGGAGATTGACGTGTGGGACCCACGCACGCACAACCCTCTCAAGAAGCAGCTGTACGTCTAGGCCATCTCTCCTGACTGCTTCCTTCCTGCTTTATATCCGGAGCCGTGTGTGGCGTGATGCGCCTCAGAACTCGCTGCTGCTGCTGCTGCTGCTGCTCTCCTGAACCCAGTCTGTAGGCACGTGTAGCGGGGTGAATCATCCTACCTTCTCCTCTCTGCCTTCCACTGTAGTCCTGTATCTTAACTTACGTCTGGGAAGCCCCCCTCCACCCCCTCTCCCCCCCCCCCCCCACCTCCCCCAGCCAGCAAAAACCCCTCCTCCTCTTATTCTCCCTCCCCTCTCCTCTTCCCCCCATCCCCCCCCCCCTCTCCCCCCCGGCCCCCCCTGACTCCGCCTCAGATCGGAGTTAGGGTCAGAGGTGCAGGTGGCAGGGGGCAAGGAGAAGACGCACTACCTGGTGGCCATGGTGGTGCACCACCTCAACCGGTCCTCCAACGTCTCGCTCTATGAGTGCAGACAGGTGGGTGAGTGTGAGGGATGTGAGGGATGTGAGGGGTGTGAGGGATGTGAGGGGTGTGAGGGGTGTGAGTGTGGTGGACCTCATGCACTAGAGGCAAGGGGGGAACAAGTGCCATCAACCCCCTGCGTCTTCCTCCTCATTTGCCGTCTCTCCCTTGTGCTATTCTCACTAACTCTTCCTTGGTCATCTTCCCCCCTCCCTCCCTCCCCTTGCGCTTTCTCCCACTCTCACTCACTCTCTCCCTCCCTCCCGTCCTTGCCCGCGTCGCCTTCCTCCTTCGCCCTTCCCTCCTCCCTCCATCCATGGTACCCACATCCCATGGTGCATGGCAGTGGGTGGAGTACTATAAGTATGCCGGCGTCTCGCACATTGTGTGGTATGACACGGCTATTGATGTCCGCGACTCCATTGTAAGTGTTTAGCCCCAAATCTCAGCTAAGTGTTCATGTCTGCAAACATCGTTTTCTTGGAGGCGGGAGCAAGCATGGTGGGGAGGTTCCCTTTTAAAAGTAGTATTATTCGTGTGAGCGAAGCCTGGTAAATCAAAAGCAAACAAACAAAATGATGGTGTGCACCCATTATTATTGTGCATCCAGGGCCAGATGCTTCTTCTTTCCCTTCTCTCAACAACCACGCCTTTCCTCCTCTTCTTCCGCCTATCATCCCCTCCTCCCCTTCTCTCTTCTTTGAGTTTCCAAAATCCCCATCCCTCAGCGTCGTCTCTCCCATGCACCCCCCTCTCTCAAGCTAGCCTTTCAACTTCTTCCAGTTCTCTTCCTTAACCTTTCGCCCTCCTAACCCACCCACTCTTCCCTTTCTCTCCTTACAGCTCTCATCACATTCCCGTTTCCCCCATTCACTTTCCCCCATCCCTCGTTCCCTCTCTCCCTCCACTCTTATCCTCTTCACCCCCACCACCAACGCCACCATTGCAGGAGTCTGCATGGAGGCCGTACGTCAAGGATGGCTTCCTCACGCTGCACTCGTTCCGCCACCTCTTCCCCTCCTTCGACCCCCAAGGGATTGCCTCCAAGGAAGACCAGGTCAGATGCACCATGTCGCACACGCAAGGCGCATCAAGTGCAATAGTATTTGGGCGGCTTTCTTGCTTTTATCGCCTTACTACTCCTGCTCTCTGTCTTTAGGTCATCTCTGGTCCAGGTGGCTTACATTGTGCGCCTTTTGTTTTGTGGAGTCTAATGGGAGCGGTGTCTTGATTTTCTTTAACCCTGTACTTATTCAGCTGTACCTACTGATTGTGTCTTGGAATCTCATGGCTTGTCTCCCTGCTGACTCTTCTTCCCATCCTCACTCTCTTTCCACTGACCTTCATACCGTGACCTTACTTTACACTCGTCCTCCTGCATCTTCTCTCTCTCTATTCTTCCTTCCTACTCCCAGACCTCCACCCCTCCTCCCCCATCTCCAGGCCACCCTTCACTTCCTGCCCACCCACGCCCTCAAGCGTCTCAAAACTAGACTAATTTCATTCGCTCTCCGTCTCCCCCCCCTCTCTCTCACCCTCCCCAGGCCACCCTGCACTTCCTGTCCACCCACGGCCCTCAAACGTCCTGGTTCATGCACATGCCGCTCTCCTCGTTCCTGTTTGCCCCCGGCGACGCCAAGCCGGGGTTCCTGGACCGTGTGGTCAGGGACTACGAGGCACATAGGCCGGACACCTCACAGCTGCTGCTGCAGATGCTGCAGTTCGTAGGGCCCAGCCAGGTGGGGGCGGGGGGAAGAAGGGGGGGGAGGTTGGGATGTGTGATGTGCAACAGCCAGGATTCCTTGCAGCAGTTGCTGCAGGTTCATTAGCCGGTTTGGCGTTTGGATGAAAGAGGGATGGGGAAGGAAAGAAGCATAGCCAGGAGGGGGCTGAAGGTGGGCAGAGAGAGGGAGAATGAGGAGCAAAAAAAGGTGCCACGTTCCTCTTATGCTCTTTTGAGCTCATATGGCTCCTGCTTGCGGATCACACGGACTGGTCATTCAACTCGGGTAATTTTCCTGTTTCCCCTTCCCTCCCCTCTCCACCACTCCCATCCCCTTCCCATCCCCTTCCCATCCCCTCCGGGGCCTCATCTCCCTTGGTTCCAGCGGCCCCTTCCTGCTCTCCTCTTGGAGCGGTTTGTGCACCGCACAGAGCAGACGAGGGGGGCGTCTTTGCAGCCGTTTGCGCAGATGACCGCGCTGGTGAAGCCGGATGGCGTGCTGCGGCTGTTCTGGCACCACCCGCACCACATGGAGATGAGCAAGGGGCACACGGTCGCGCTGCCAGCTGCGCTGCTGCGCGTGCACTCGTTTGCCAAGGCTCTTGCAGGGGAAGGAGTTGGAGGTGAGAGGTAGAAGCTTGACTTGCATGGGCGGGGGATTGCGGTAAGGGAGTGGTGTATGGTTCTGAAGAGTTGTTTCTGCATTCGCCCATTTACCATGTGCTGATGGCCTTGTCCAGTGATTGTGCGATGTTGGTGATGCTCCTCAGGTGAAGACGTTGTGGCTGACACATCGATGCTTCCGATTGCGATTGAGTTAAACCAAATGCTTAACAAGGAGTCAGGTGTACGGCAAAGAGCTGGAGGTGGCGGGGCTTCCACACGTTTTGGATGATGATTGATTGCATACTGGTACCGGTAAAAGGCTCGTGTTGAATTCTTATTCAGTGCCTACATCTGTCCTTCCAATTAAGTTTCACGGATCACGGTTAGAAATGGAAGTACAGACATATCAATGGTGGCAGATTCTTAGTATGAATTACTAGTTCAACGTTACTTGTTACGTTCCTCACTTTCGCCAGTGCGCTCCTGCTGCTTCCCACCATGGTCTGAGCCGCCATCCCTCCTGCAGTACTCCTGGCCCTCCAGTTTAGTCAGTTCAGCGGGAGACTCCAGTGAGGCAAGCAAGCAGCAGGTGGACTGGAGGGGGCATGGCGCACTGTACAAACCACCAAGCCCTTACTGGTTGTCGGAGGATGCAGCGTGTCGTATGGCGTCGTCCTCGTCAGTCCCTTTCTTGGCGCCGTCTTCCCTCAACGGCGCTCCCGCCTCGCGCCTTTCCGAGACATCTCAGGTGCAGCGTGCTTGCAAGGAATTAGTACGCCTGTGGTGTCTGCTCGGGTGCTACGCTACTATGCGCGTTGCGATCACCAACGAGCACGTCTTCCGTGCTAATCAGAGTAGACGTAGCAGCAGTGATACCTTTTAGGAGAATTGATGAAACATTTTTCCAGCTGGCTTACTCAGTTTTACGGCTCCACTCTTCCTCACTCTTCCCCACTCTTCCTCCTCCCCAGGCCGAGCCATCGCGAGCCATGGCGTGCGAAACGGACAGACCAACTCTAGCGACGTCGCGCATGAGTCCCGCGATGGACGCGCCTGCCGTCGAGGAGAGAATGTACCGACGGAAGCGCCAGCGGGCGTCCCTAGGCGGCAGCGCTATTTCCGATCAGGACTCCGAAGACGCGTCGAATGCGGCGGAGAGGTAACTACTCGCAGTAGCCTTATTCTTCGTTTTTTTGTTTAGACGAGATTATAATTTCCAAGTGTGTGGCTGCTTAAGTGACATTCCCGCATCTGGCTTACGTGTATTCTTGAAGCTTCAAACATCGGTTTTCCGCGTTTCAGTATTCTGTCTCGGCATAAGCCTCGCGTGATTAGAGTTTGCGCGTTATTATCATTTTTTCTCTAAATCTCAGGCCTCGTCTTTTTCGAGTTCCCCTCCCGGACTCCTGGTAACGCTCCTGGTCGCGCTGTTGCCAGTGCTGACCTAAATTTAAAATTCGAAGCTGGTGGGGTGGCTGCTCCCCATCCGCTCAACTTCGCTCCCGTGCTCTCACCGCTTTCATCGCTCGCATCCGTTCTCAACGCACCAAGTGTTTCCCAAGGTCCTTCCATGCTGATTCGCGTGCCTGGCAGTAAGGGACCATGGACATGGCCGCATCAGTCGAGAAAGACGAGAGCTGTCTCCGGGGAAGACGTTGGTAGAATACTCTTTGGCAAGCCGTCGTCTACGCGGGACACGCCAAACCAGGTGCTGTGTTTCGACCATGCTTTTCTTACGGGGGTGCTACTTCGTTGGCAGAGCTAGAATATGTGTACCCGCCTCGTGTCAACTCCCCGGCTCTGATTGGTGTTGAGGAGTGTTCGTAATCTCGATTTGATTGACGTTGCGGTTGGCTTGGCTGATGCAGACTGAGCTGCGGTCCAAGTGGTTAGAGGACAAAAAGCCTGTGACTCGCAGTGGCCGGGCGGCGAAGGAGAAGGCAGCTGCTGCAGCGCGAATGATGGAGGAGCAGCAGCAGGAGGCGGAGAAAGAAGTGCAGCAGCAGCAGCGTCCTCAGCCGCAACAGCAGAAGGATCCGAGAGGACAGCAGTTGACGAATAAACAACAGCTGAACCAGCCTCAGCAAAAGCAGAAACTGCAGTTGAGAAATGGAAGCCCTATGGAGCTAGAGCAGAGGCCCCAGGGCGAGCAAGAGAAGCGTTCAGCTGCGGGGAAAGCCGGAGCCAAGGCGGGACCACCAGTGCAGCAGGGGAGGAAGGGAAGGGAGACAGCGAACAGAAGAAGGGTGTTGCTGAAGAAAAGAGAGGACGAGTTGGAGTCCCAGAGTGAGTCAGTTGTGGAGGTTGACAGGGTAAATGGGCTGAATGGGGGGGGAAAGGAAGCAGCAGAAGACAGGGAGGTGGCAGGCGCGAGCATGGAGAGAGGGCACAGTGGAAACGGTAGGGAGAAGAGAGAAGCGGCAGCTGGTGAAGAGAGAAGAGTCGATGGAACGAGTGGTTCCGAGAGTGTGAGTGAGGCAAGTGAGGATGACGATTGTGAGTGGGGTTCACACTCGCGTAGGAAAAAGGGGGGGATGAGTGTTTCTCGAGGGAAAAGGCTGCTGAAAAGAGAGCATGGGAAGCAGGAGCACAAGTCATTTGTGTCAGAGAAACAGACTTATTTTGCGGAAGTGGATGCTTTTGAATTGGAGGAAGAGGAGGCGGTGTCAGAAGGCAACTGACCCAAAGCCAACTGATGACAAGGAATTGTACGCATGTAATTTTACTAAAAGCGTGCTGTGTTCTAAGCTACCGTATCTGCTGTATATAGGCTATTATATTATTGATTGACATACATTTTTACTAGGTTAACATGATTAAAAATTGAAGTGTACAACATCAAGTGCAGCATCTGCTTGACTACTGCTTCAAACTCTGCTTGAAGCCTGCACTGCACCAAAGCCACCTTACCATAGAAAAAGGCTAACGAAAAAAGCTGCAGCTTGCCAGCCACTGCATGTGGTTCGTGTACAATAAAATCCCACTGACAGATTCCCCATGGACAATTTACCAGCAAAAATACCCTTTAGGACCCCAAACCATGGTTCTACATACCACTACAGCACATGATCTTCATGCAGTTAGCCAAACCTTGTACACCCAAGGGTTAGGCCAGTGAACGTGTTGCTGCGATTTGACCCGAATGACTGCCCCATTTGCAAGGAATAATTCACCAACACCCCTGCTCCTGTGCCCTCCTGACAAGGCAACCCTCCCAAGACATTCTAGCACCACCTCCAGAGGAATAGGTGACGCAAGGACAGGAGGAGCAAGGAGAAGGGGGTGCGAGCACTGGGTGAAGGAACAGAAGAGGGTAGGTCTTTCTGGGGAGTCAGAGAGCATTGGGAATTGTAGGAGATGCACAGCGTAGGAGCAGGGGGGAAGGGATAGTGTGCGCAAGGGAGCGGCACGACGTTCAATCAGGGAAAAGGAGAGGCTTGGGGGAAGCAATCATGCAGGGACATCACCCCCTCCCTCCTCCCCTTCCCTCCCCTCCCCTCCCCTCCCCTCCCCTTCCCCAAGCAGAAAGGAAAAGGGGAGAACACAGTGTGTGCCTGAGCGGGTGTGCTTCTGAGTTGACTCAAGAGCGGCTCAGGACCGTCACCGCTTGGAGCGCTTGGAGTTACGCTCCCCCTGAACATGAGGTAGAGAGAAGAGTCAAGAGAGAGGGCGCAGGGCAGGGGGAGGCGACGGGGGGGAGTGGTGGGAGGGGGGAAGTGGGGTGGAGTCGGAAAGAAGGGTTGGGAGAGTAAACAGAAGGGCAAATGAGAAGAGGTGAAGATGACAGGAGGATAAGAGAAAAATAGGGAGGGAAGCAAGAGGTGACAGTGCAGAAAGTGGGTGAGCTTACAGTGAGTGTGCTAACAGCGAGGGCGCTAACAGTGGTGCTTACAGCGAGGGTGCTTACAGTGGTTCTTATCGTGAGGGTGCTTACAGTGAGCGTGCTAGACTCAGTAGCAGGCACGGGCTGTGGCTTGCCCCCAAGGATCTGCCCCTCGGCGAGGCACTTGTCACACACGAACTGAGTCATCTTCTTCACCTGCTCTGGCGTCAGGTGGATGCACGTGGGGTGGAACCTGCAGGGCAGCAGAGAGTGTGAGTGAGTGTGTGTGAGTGCGTGGTGTGTGTGGCGTGGGTGTACATGGAGAATGGGAAGGGGAGGGAGCAGGGAACGGTGTGTGAGGGGAGCGGCACGTAAGGAGCAAGAGGAAAGGTCAGGGGCAAAGAGGGGAATGAGGGAAACAGGGGGATGGAAGGGTGCGAAGACAGGGAAACAGAATGCAGAAGGGTGGATATGGTATGGGGGAAGGGAGGTGATAGGAAAGGGGAAAATGGTGAGGGAAGGTGGGAGGGGAAGGGTATGGGGGGGAGGAAGGACATAAACGAACAGGGGTGATAGAAAACGAAAGGGGGAAAGGCGGAAAGGAGAGATGGCATCATGGCAGGGAAGGGAGGACGGAGAATGGAGGGAGGGGAGGACGGAGGGGATGACAGCGGACGCGGCTTGGTCGTCCATGCGCGATAGTTTCATGCGCCGAGAACCGAAAGGATGTGGTTTCGCAGCGTGCTTGCGGCTTGTTCAGTGCACAGCAAGGCATGAGGGTGCTTGAGGTACTGACCAGTCCTTGCAGCTGTCGCACTGCACCATGAGGTCGTCCGGGTTGTACGGCATCTCACACACGCAGTACCTGCACTCACACACGCATTCACGCACGCACGCGAGCGCACAGACAGGGGAGCACGCAGACAGGAGAGCAAGCATGCGAGCAAGGTGGAGGGTTGAAGGAAGACGAGCGAGACAGATCAACGAGGGAAGCTGGGGCCCCGGGTGCAGAGCGGCAGAGTAACCTGGCTTCCTAGACTCAAGAGAGGGCTTCAACAGCTGACCTCCTCGAGGCTCGTACCGCCTAGCTCGGAACGCAAGGTGCTGCTCTCCTGCCGCACCTCCATTAATCACTACCAGCAGGCAGAAGCACTGACCAACACGAATGTACACAAAAGAGCACACACGCCTTCCGGCGCATTTCCTCCATGTGCAATGGGTTGCAGCACTGGCCATTGGATGCCTCCCCGTCGCCTCACGCGCCCATCGCCGGCCCGTCCAGCTCCTCATCGCCTCCACTGTAACCACAACCGCTCCACTCCATGGAACCCCACCCACACGATTCCCAAACCACAACCTTCCCACCCCCTTCCCCTTCCTCCCCCACCCCCCCCTTTCCCTTCCCCCTTTCCCTTCCCCCCTTTCCCCCCTCCCCTTTCCCTTCCCCCCTTCCCTTTCCCCCTCCCCTTCCCCTTCCCCCCCTCCCCTTCACCTTCCCCCCTTCCCCCTTTTCTCTCTCCCCAACCCTAACCTTCACTCCTCCAAACCCCCATTCCCCTCGTCCCTCCCTCCGCCCCGCACCCATCCCCCCCCCAGCCTGCACTCACACGGCGACATGGTCGGGTTTGAACGTGCCGGTGGCGGCCTTGTACTCGAAGCGGTAGAAGTAGTCCTCCGCCTCCACAGCCCCGAGCTTGACGTAGCTTTTGAACGAGTGCACGCGGCACACGCCCTCCACGGCGTCCATGCTGCACACGTCGAAGTGGTCCGACAGGAACAGCTCCTTCGACCCGTGGAAGTTGCGCCGCCCGCCCAGGCTCTCCTCGGGCCGGTAGAACCACCGCAGGCGCACCTTGGTGTCCGCGCGCTCCACGTCGATCGCCTCCACGCGCGCCACGTACGGCGGGGTGTCCTCCGCGGGCGGGCGGAGCATCACCGTGTCGCCCACTGGAGTGGGTCGCGCGGAGGGCGGAGTGGGGAGGGGGGGTGGGTGGGGAGTGTGCGGGAAAGGAGAAAGGGGGAGAGGGGACGGTCGCGGTACGGGACTGCGCGGGCCGACCGGGGCCGTGAGATAAACGCGCTCGCACAGGCACAACAAGCATACACAACGCCACAGGTGGCACGAAGAGCCATGCACTGCGCGCACCTTTGACGATTTGGTTGAGCCGCTCGCACTTGTACTCTGACACGGACTTCTTCACCGCCCTCTTGCCCATGGCGCCACCACACGGAGATCGATGCGCCGCTGCGCGCCAAGTAACGACGCTCGCACTCCACTAGGGAGAGGCAGCCCCGACGAGCCCAGCCCCCACGACAACTGCTTGTCTCACAACTGAGGTGCGACGCTATACGCGCCGCTGGAACCGCGAGGCCCTAGTGGCACTGAGGAGCGAGCGCAATGCGTTGTGCCGCGCGAGCTACTCTCGCCAAACAATAATCTCACGGAACGAGTTTCTCTTGCGCCTCAAAAGCACCACTCAAGGAACGCGACCCTAATCGCCGTTCCTGTAAGCAGTGGCGAACGGCGCCGGCTGTCTGGTCCCAAATCGGCCGACTGATTGCCTGGAGTGCGGCGCTTGGGGCGCGAGCTTGTTCGACAGAAAGATTTGAGGAAACGCTCCTACACGTGGCAAGAAAACGCCAGGCGGTCCCGCCGGAACAGCCGAGCGAATCGTAGCGCCATGAGCTGACGACACAGAAATGCTAGCTAGATGGTGGTCTTTGAGGTGACTCAAAAGGAACACGAACGGGGAAGGGAGGGATTGGTCAGGGTCTTGAAAGAGGTAAAAAGATAGCCTGAACTAGAACGCGAGGCTCGTAGAGAGAGGTGGAATGCTAGAGTGGAATGGTGTTGCCGATTTAGAGGGGTGCCGCATTTGGGAAAATTGTGTTTGACAGGTCAATTTGGGATTACGCATGTCTCTGCCGAACGAATCAACCTCGAGACAGTCCAAGAACGAAGGATTTAGAATATTCAAACCGGAGGGTAAAGGGCGAGGAGGGAGCCCGGAGATTTTAGTGGAAGATTGTGTAGTACGCAAAATTGGACGCTACTATGGCGGGTCAAGGATGGAGCATTGGAAGCAACAGAGGTGAGAGGTAAGGGGCACATGGTTGCACACTAGAGGTAAGAACACTTTGATGGAGGTCCGTGAGGTGCTTGGCGTTATAGAGCGTTTCGTCTGGAATTGTAATCGGTGGGGTTGGAGGGAAAGCGAACTCGTTTGACGCAGTTAGGTCCTTGCATTACTGGTGCATGCGTTCGGCGCAAGGGTGGGGTGGAGGAGAAGGGCATGGGATGAGCGGGAGGGAGTATCGGATGAGCTAAGTTGGGCGAGAACTTCAGTCCGACTGCTCAGGCGGTGTCGTGGGGGGGACCCATAAGCGTTTGGGTGTACTGTACCGTACCAGCAGCGGTTGCGGCGAGTTCAGGCCACGTTTCAGGGTGTTTTTCTCAAGCGCTCTTGTGATTGGTGGAGTGGGATTCTGGGTTTCGTGCGCAAGTGCACCGCACACAAACAAGTGGAGGATTTCAAATTCCGGGTTTGAGTTCGAAATGTCAAAGTTACAGGCGCCAAATCAATCAGATCCCCTTCTTACAGAAAAAGCATGGTTTAACGATGTGATAATTGGGTCACTTGAAAATAACATAAAAACCCCAGAGAATCCACCAAGTTGCTAATTATTTCCGGTGATTTCTCCTCCAATTTGGAAACATTGAGAAACGCCCTAATTTCAAGTACCATGAAGCAATCCAATATGGTCCGTAGTATGTTCAGGATTGAACTGCAATAATGCGCTTTGCGGAAGCGGTTGATTGGTTTGGTGAACCCTGTCAGAGTGAATGTAACATAGCAGTGTTGATTATAGCAAGAGAATACAGGGTTCATATAGGGATGCAAGAGTGTGAAGGGTCTAACGAAGATGTACTTAACAGGGGTACATTGTTAAATTATATCAGTTATTATATAAATGTAGGCTTGGTAGATGTTACTGAACATTACTGTAGAGGGTACAACACCCCTCCTTGTATCCCTCTCTCTTCTTTCCTAGTCCTCTTTTCTCTCAACATTCTCGCCTACCTCCTAGATCTAGATCTCATACCATATTCATGGCTTCACCTATTCCTATATAGCCTAACTTCACGACATACATTCCATATGAGGTTCCAGATCCGACTCGGGTAACTGCACACAACTCGGGTAACTGCCTGTGCTGTATTACAGGGTCAGTTATGTGTCCTTGCGGTCGTGACGAACCCTTGAGCTTCTGTCGGTTCGGCTGTCGGTCAACGGCCAACGATCGTTGCACTTCGTACCTCTCGTCATTAGCTGGGACTGGACAAGGGTTACGACTCGAGTGTCACTTTCAGGAATGTAACAACACCCCCCTTCATTACTGAAGGTGCTCGAGCTTGGTGCGCTTAGAGATTCCACAGAGCTCAGCACAATGTAGGTATTGCTTGAAAGAATTTGAAAGGATGAGACTAAGTATAGAATCTGCAGGCACAAGTACTTGAAGTAGAAAGTAATACTGGAAGTACCTCCAGTAACAGCCAGTATTAACAAGTTGTGTTACAGCCTTGCGATACTTCAAGACTTAACTAAGGATCTTTGCTGGAATGTTAGACTAGTAAGACAGCAGAAGTCTTAGAACTTGTAAAGTGTTGACCAGAATTTACTGAAGAACAAGTTAACAATTGAAGTTGTACAAGCTACTTTTATATCTGCTAGAAGTACCTATTCGGTGATGTACCTGTTCGAGCTATTTGCGCTATGCGCTCTAACCGCTACTGAAAAGAGCGCGACTGTTCGCATAACTAAAACGGCTTGCTGACGTAATCATCCAGACGAGCGCTATTTGGTGACGTCATTCTACGGATGCTAACTACAGTGTAACTCGACAATATCTATCGGGACTACTTACAGAAATGCTTAAAGCCCGCGGCTAAAATAGCAGAACCGGAAACCACATGAATTCGGTGCTTTGAAATCCGTCTAAGTATAGAATGGAAGGCAGCTTTGAGTTCAAGCCTGAACAAGACAAGTGCGTCGAAACAAATTCTAGTCGAGCTTGCTGATTGAAGGAATGGCGAAAGACCTCGTTTTGCTGTTTGTTGGGACACGATCATTTGGATGTGAATAGCGCAAAAACACTGTGTGCATCGCACGGAGTTTCTACGACGGGTTTGGGCGAGCAGCTTGCGACGAGGAAATACAGGCGCTTTATGACTGGGGAATTCAAGTGATTTCCAAGTCTGCAATTCCAAAATCAGCTACTGTTCGCCATAAAAACACTATTCTTTCCCGTATTTTCATTGTTTACGGAACCACGAATTCGGTCCCACGAATTCGGTCCCATGAGGCGTATTGTCTCAAAGAAAAACTGAATGATTGCATAGAGGGAGAGAACAAGTGTATATACCTAAGAGTGTTGTACCCTCTAAGAGGTTACCCTATACAGTCTATACAAATATGAGTTATACATATATTTGACACACCCCCTAGACAGCATAGGGGCAAATCCTGAACAAGCAGCTCAGGGCGGCACTACTAGTCCAGCCACTGAGACAAGGGTCTAAAGACCAGTCAAAAGGAGTACAGGCAAGACAAGAACAAGACCAGGGCGGCACTACTAGTCCGGCCACTAGGAAAGGACACAAGTCCAGTCTGAGTACATATAGATAGATGTATATAGGACAGTACAAAGTGAAGGTCCTAGCAAGTGAGAGGCTACAGAAACTAGACCGAGCTGTACACAGTGCCGCTGATGATCTTTAGGCGCAAGCGCCTTCGTAAAGATATCAGTTGTGTTGGCACCAGAGGCCAAGTGAACTACGCGGGCCTGGCGACGCTGCTGTAGCTCGCGCAGGAGGAAGTACCGCAGCTGAATGTGCTTCGCTCTGCCCTCAAGTCAAGGCTCCTGACACAGGAGTATCATGGCCCTGTTGTCAGCATACAGGACCGGGGCAGAGCTAGGCCGCTCACCTAAGTCTGTGAGCAAGAAAGTCAGCTAGCGGAGCTCCTGTGCCGCCATGGCACCAGCGTAGATCTCAGCCTCACAGCTCGACTGAGCCACAGACGACGAGCGAGTGGATCTCCAAGAGATAGCACCCGAACCAAGGCAAAAACAATAGCCCTGTGACGACCTGAGCGTCTCAGAGTCGTCTGCCCAAGTAGCGTCTGTGTGCCCAGTGAGGACCACTGGCCTGCGTCCTCCCAACACTAACCCCATGCCTGATCTACTTGCTAGATATCGCAAAACCCTCTTGGCTGCCGACCAGTGCTGTGGTCGGTGTCTGCCAGTGGCCACAAAGCGAGCCAGGATGCTGAGAGGGTATGCGAGATCTGGGCGAGTGCAGGTCATCAGGTACATGAGGCAACCCACCAGCTCTGCGTAGGGGCCGCTGGGCTCTACTGACTCCTTAGGAACAGGAGCGGAAAGCCCGTGGTCTACAGGTAGAGGTGTGGGCTGTGCAGAGGAGAACTGAAGACCGAACCTCTGAAGGACCTGACGCACCAAGTGTGACTGGGTCAGAGTGATGGTGCGTGTTGCTCTGTCTCTGGAGCTCTGTCCCTGCAGCGCTACCAAGATAGCGACGCAGCTCTCCAAGATCAGTGCAGGTGTGTCTCTTCAGCAGCTCAGTCTTCACAGAGGCCAGTGCGTCCCTGTCAGGAGTAGCGAAAACCAAGTCGTCTATGTAGACAAGGATGTAGAACGGAGTCTGGCCGGAACGCACAAACAGTGAAGGGTCAGCAGAGGACGGAAAGAACTGCAGGTCTGCTAACGTGGCACGTAGCATGTCGTGCCACTCGCGGGGAGCCTGACGCAGGCCGTAGACCGGGCGCCTGAGAAGCCACTGGGTCCCAGGAGGGAAGGTACCAGTGAAGCCCTGTGGTCGGCGCAGGTAGACGTGCTCGTGTAGGCTGCCCTGAAGAAAGGCAGTAGAGAAGTCGAGGGAGTGAAGCTCGTAGTCACGCTGAGCTGCTACGTGTAGCAGCGCGTGAAGAGTGGTCATCTTCGGGGTCGAGGCGAAGGTCTGGAAGAAGTCAACCCCCTCGCGCTGACTGAAACCTCTGGCCACGTAGCGCGCCTTGAAGACAGGCGGCTCTCCAGGGGGGCGCTTCACCTTGAAGAGCCACCGACCATCGACTACGTTCACCCCAGGCGGGGGAAATGCGTCGACGTAAGTGCCAGTGGACCTCAAAAATGCCATCTCCTGCTCCATGGCAGCTATCCACTGAGAGGCCCAAGGTCCCGAGGTGGCCTCAGCGTAGGTGCGAGGGGTCAGGATGTCGAAGGCGTCTGGGTCACCCTCACGGACTAAAAGCATGGAGCAGAGATGGGGAGCAGCCTCGGACAGGAAAGCCAGCTCGTACTGCCTGTCCTCTAGGACGTCACTGCCAAGGGCAGGAGCACCCCCGACGGACGGAGGCACCGGGGAAGGGGGACGCGGCAAGGACAGATGGGGGGTACCACCAGAGTCAGCAGACTCCTCAACGGGGACTACCGACGGGAGGGGAGTGACGTGAGAGACACCAGACGGGGCAGGACGAGGCGGGAGAGGGGCAGGGGCTACCGGGGGAGAGGGAGCAAGGAACAGGGGGGGGGCAACTAGGAGACCTCGGTGAGGGAAGCGGCGGTAAAAGGAGACAGACTCGTCAAAGGTAACGTCACGAGAGTGGAGGAAGCGTTGAGACGGCGGGTGATAGAAAAGCCAGTCAGACGAGTCCAAGGGGAAACCGAGGAAGACACAGGGGACAGTGCGGGCAGTGAGCTTGTCCGTGCCAGAGGCACAAACGTGAGCAAGGCAGCCCCATACGTGGAACGCAGACGCGTCACCGGGGAACCCGGTCCAAAGAAGGGTCGGCGAAACCTGCGGCCGCTGAGAGCGTGGCCACAGGTTAAGCTGGTGAGCAGCGTAGCAAACGGCGAACGACCACAGAAAATGGGGGGCATCGGCATGAATCATGGAGGTGCGGGCGACCTCCATGACCAAGCCGATGCGGCGCTCAGCAACCCCATTCTGCTGTGGCGAGTCCGGCAAGGTGTACGACTGGGTGATGCCCTCCGCACGACAGAACTGTCCAAG